GGAATTCTGGCTAGCTCTCAGAGCCCTGCCTACCTCCCCAGACATGCTGTTATCACTACTACTAAAGTCATGGGCAACCAGTACGTGTTATATATGAACACTCAAGGGCAAGTCCCTTGAGGGACTGAAGGCATCACAGTGATAGATTTCTTTCAATGACAAGGTAGAGAAAGTTGAGGCTTGATGAATCAAAGTCCTTGACATCCTTCTTGTAAGGTCTCATACTACCATAGCAAACTAGAGTCCAGTCAAGTCACTCAGGGCCTGACTTAGCCCACAATGGGCTGTGGCATCTCTTCAGGAGCGCAAACACTGGTGGACTCTGGGGAGGAACCTCAGAACTTTTGAATAAAGAGAACTCTTCAGAGGACTTCAAGCATCAGAAAGAGGTAAAAGGGAAAAAAAAAAAAAAAAAAAAAAAAAACCGGAGACTTCCAGTCCCAGTGCGAATTTCTTTAATGTACCATTCTGGGAGAATGATGCTTACCAATCACTGCCAATGTTATTTAGAGACTGTTAGCACACAGACAACAATTTTCAAGGCATTCTAGAGCCCCTTTGCCATTTGGGTCATGAAAGATGGCTTCTTCCCAACACAATACTCCACACTATCATCCATTGAATTAGTAAAGAACATGTTTGAAAAATCTGAGAGGCCATAATTTAAGCACTTCCTCTCCTTAGCAATGATGGCTCTGGGTAACAGGTCATCTGCAACCCAGCTTCCTCAGTTCATTGACTTGCTCCTCCCTGGGAAAGCCCCTACTCAAGACAATCCATTTTTTGTAGCTGGCAAAGTCACTAAGATCTAGAAAGACAAAGAAAACTATTATTAACATGATTGAGAACTAGCCAGCTCACACCAATACAGAACTTAAATCAATCCAGATTGAGGGAAGCTGGAGATGATTTAATTCTGCTTGGATAGAAGCCTCCAGCTAGTGATTTAGACAAGATTAAGAACCCAAAGCAGCAGCTCCAGGAAACTTGACTTTAAACAAACCCTGCCTGGAGTTTACTGCTAGTGTAATGCAGTAAACTATAAATGTTTAAGAACACACACACACTTTCCAAAAAGTAGAATCTGCATCAAATATCCTTCTGTCCCTGGGACCCAAGCACACTGTGAAGAGCTTTACATGTGTTTAAATACTTATTCTGAAAGTCACCTTCATGATTAATTAGTCCAACCTGATATATGCATTCCTTTTTTGGCAACAACTACCCAGTTTGTCTTTGCTCACAATCTGCAAGCTTGAAAGGCAACCACACTGTAACTGGATGTACATGCCGTCACTCCCAGTAGCCCTCACCTTCTGGTTTTCATGGTCTTCATCATTTTCCCTCCTTAAGTACCTTGTTTTTAGCCAATAAAATAAAAGCCACATTGAGGGGTGTCATGTCTGTAATTTTGACTTCTATTTTTCGAGCAGACTCTCTCTCACTAGTGTTGATAACGTAAGCTGCCATGTTGGAAAGGCCCATATGGCAAAGAGCTGAGCATGGTTTCCAGGTAATAGCCAACAAGGAGATGCTACTAACCACCATGTATTATGAGCTTGGAAGCCACTCTATCCCAAGTTGAGCTTTGAGATGACACCCCTACCCTGGTTGACCCCTTGGATAAGAACACTTGAATGAAAGTAGATAGTAACAGTGAGATAATAATGTTTATTTTTTTAAACTTTATTAAAAAGTAATAATGTTTACTTTTTTAAACTATAAGGTAACTGGTAATGCAATAGAAAATTAATACAGATTTTTGGAACCTAGAAATGGGGTGCTGCCATAACATAAAAATTGTGGGAGTGGTGTTAAAACCAGCAATGGGCTGAGGCTGGATGGATTTTTAGATTATAATAGTGAACTACTTGAACAGACTTATTAGAAATCTGGATTTTGATTACACTGTCAATGAGGGCTCAGAAAGAAGTGAGAAGCAGGGGTTTTGAAATTGAAAGAAGGGAGATCTTTGTTATAGAGTGACACAAAACTTAGCACCATTGTCTTCTGCATGTATGTGGAAAGCAGATGTATTTATCTAGTAAAGAACATTTTGAAGCAAAGTGTTGAAGGTTGCCTACTTTCTCCTTGCTGCAAATAGTAAAGTATGAGAGAAGAGCGATAAATTGCAGAAGGGCTATTACACAAAAAGGACACAAGAATTGATTTTGAAAATTCTTAGCTCCTCCAAAGGGGAAAAAATGCTAATATTAAGAAATGGCTTCTATATCTGTTAGGATAACATAGCCTAGCAGCAAAATTTGATGCATTTGAGTTATGGTGTTGGAGGAGAATATTTAAAGTACCATGGGCTGCCAAAAGAACCAACAGATCTGTGTTGAAAGAAGTGCAGCCAGAATGCTCCTTGAAGGTCAAGATGGCCAAACTTCGTCTCTCGTACTTCATATTGTCAGGAGGGACCAGTCACTAGAGAAGGATATCATGTTTGGTAAGGTGCAGGGTCAGAGAAAAAGAGGAAGACCCTCAGTGATATGGATTGGCAATATGACAGCATCAAGGGACTCAAGTTTGGCAACAATTGTGAGGTTGGCCCAGGACCAGGCAGTGTTTTGTTCTGTTGTGCATAGGGTCGCTATGAGTTGATACCGACTCGATGGCACTTAACAACAACAACAACAACAAAATTGATTTAGATATTAAAAGACAAAAAGAAAGATAAAGCCAAAAGCTAAGACCAATGGCTCAGAGTATTCAGTCATCTAAAGGATCCTTTAAAGGGAATAAGGGGATGCCTGACAGATTCTCTATTGAGACTTGGAGTATTTATTAGACAGGGTCACAGTTTAAATGGGCCAAATAGCAGAACAAACAGGAAACCCCACTGACAGTAAACATCCTTCAGTAATTTAACACCAAAAATACCTATTTAGGGGAAAACCACAACAACAAAACAAAAATCAGGGCTGTGCCAGAGCTTTAGTTTATTTCAATGTAAATTAAATGCTTAAAAAACAAAAACAGAAAAAAACATACAATAGTTCTGAGCAGCAGAAATGAGAACCTTAGTCAACCAAACAACAAGGTTTGAACAATACCAAACAGCCTGCCACAGCTGAGTCAGAGCAAATGGCAACACTGCCCGTTCTCATTTGTTTCATCAGTAACACGTGGCTGCAGTATACTGCTCAGCAGCCTATCCTGCTGAAACCCCAGGGGAAAAGGAGAGGGGAAGGGAAGAAACCAAACATCTGGTGAGGAGGGAGGGGAACCCATGCTTTTTAGATTCACTATGCAGCTTCGAGGAGTTACAACAATTCATAGCAAATCAGCTTAATGGCTCCAGGTGCAAGCAGCAGTTCAAGGAGAGGGTAAAGCCTGCCTTTTGTATTTAATTTCTGCAAACAGACCCTTCTCCGTTTGAAACCCTTTCCCCAGATTTCTCTTCTCCTCAGTCTTATTTTACCATAAATTTTTAGGTGGTGCTGACAAAAAACCTGAGATTGAATTTCAGTCCTATTCACATCAAGTCCAAGTCACATCACTGTGTATGTTTAGAAAACCTTTAGAGATTTATGTCAATTTATTCTGTATTCCCAAAATTGTTGTTGTTGTTGTTCAGTACTGTCAAGTTGGTTCTGACTCATAGTGACCCAATTTAGTTTTTCCAGGGAGAGACTGCTGAGTTTGAACCACCGACCTTGTGGTTCTGTGCTTATCCAGCGCAACCACATCAAAATACCAATCCCCAAATTAAAGTACCACTAACTGTGTGTGGTGCTGTGGGTTAATGTGCAAGACTGCAAAGCTGTTTGAATTGCAAGGTCTGTGGTTCAAGCTCACCAGCCATTCCTCGGAAAACCTGTACAGGGTCGCTATGGGTCGGAACCACCTCAATGGCACTTCACAACAACTAAGTATGGTGCCCTAGGATGAGCACTGAACTGCTAACCTCAAGGTTGGTGGTTCAAACCCATTAGCTGCTCCTTAGAAACCCTATACTGGGTCACTATAAGTTGGAACTGACTCAATAGCACCTAACAATAACAACAAAACAAAACACAAGTTTCATAAACATTACACTCAAAGTTACGTACAGTTTGTAAGAACTTCCCATATTGTATTATATTTCACAAAGTCAAACTGGAACATTTATCCCTGCATTCTTGCTCAGTGGTTTTGATAATATATTGGGAGTCAGAAAGTAAGCATTAACATCCTTTCCTATCTGAGGAGTGCCTTCCTTTCTCCCTCTCTTTTTAAAAAGGATTGTTGTATGCCATTGACTTTGTTCCAACTCATAGTGACCTTGTATAGGGTTTCCGAGAGCAGCTGGTAGGTTTGAATAGCCAACCTTGTGGTTATCCTATATAGCACTACACCAGGGCTCAAAGAGAGGAGTTATATGTTGTTAAGTATTGTCGAGTAGGTTCCAACCCATAGCAACACTGTATAGGGTTTCCAAGAAGCACCTGGTGAGCTTGAACCATCGACCTTGCAATTCAAACCCACTTTGCAGTACAGCACATTAACCCACAGCGCCACACCAGGACTCCAAAAAGTGAGGAAGAAAATAGAAAAAAATATATATGTATACATATTTAGAGATTGCTTAAAATATCACTTCAACCAAGAAAACAGATCTAACTAAAATTGAATATGACTTGGAAGAACTGAATTAGGCCATTAACCAGAGAGACTGAAAGATGGATACTTCATCATGCAAAGGTAGAAGGAGAACACGCTGCTTTTTCTAAATTCCTCCAAACCACACTAGCTCTGATGCACAGAAGCTTATAAGCAGGCAGTGCCTCCCCACCAGCCCTTGAGAAGTGTCTCCCCGAGAATAACAGAAATAGGCTCACCAAACAAGTCCAAGGAAAGTTATCCTCTCCCCAATGCCTTTTCAGTCCCACAGGACCACATTTTCTGTTTCTTTTCTGGCAATTCCAAAAGCAAAAATTCACTTTGCTTGAGCCAGAGGAAGGGAGAAGTCGTGGAGCCAGGTATCCAGCTGAAGCTGGCTTTTATATACTCACCAGTACATTGTTGGCCTGAGCCAGCATAACCAGGCAGACAGGCACAGGTGAACATCCTGCCGCCATGATGAATGCACTGGGCCTGGCCAGCAGGAGCACAGGTGTGACTACCATCCTCACAGGGGTTGGGAGGTGGGGCAATCACTGCAAAGAGAAGAAGGCAAGATTCCCAAACATTCAGGCATGTGAATGCACGAGCCTTTCACAGACCCACAGCATGGGTACACCTGGGGGCTTGCAAGAAAAACTGGTTCGCAGGCCCCTTTGTGAGCCCAATAATCAGAACTGAATTTTAACAAGATTCTTAGGTGGTGTGTACACATAATGATTGAAAACTGCTGACCTGGGCTTGTGGTTAAAGCAATAGGTTTGAAAGATCAGTCATCAAAATAGGCCTTTTTTAAAGTTTATAATTCCCAGAGCAATTGCTGCACACAATACAAGATTTCTACAATCACTGTTACTTTTTCATCCCAGTAGATTAAAAACCACATTTTTTCTATTATCGATTAGCTCTATCAATGGTATGAATTTGGAATTCTAGCTCTTCTGGATATATTTTAGTACCAAAGAACTTTTTGAACATTAGAAACAGTATAGCTAGAATAGTTTCCTTGGCTGTTCAAGTGGAACAAATGTCTTTGAATTACACATCTACTTCATTGCAATTTTAAACTACTTGACATATGTAAAGAGCTGGGGCTATTTAGTGGAGAGGTTCATAGACTTATTATATGATTGACCCAAATACCAGGGTTCACAGGAATCCCAAATGAGGGTAAACATCCTCCAATAACTGAACACTACAAATAATTATTAAGCAAGGGAATCAGGGCTGAATTGAGCTAGAGCTTGCGGTTATTTCAATGCACACACTGTACTTTCATGGAAATCATACAGCAGCGTGGAAACATTAATGAATTAAAGGGCAAGGTTCAACACTCTTAGCCAACATGATAAATGGTTTTCGTGCTTACAGATACAAGTGTGTCGGTCTTCTGCAAACTCATAACCATTAGGGCATTCACACTTGTAGCTTCCTTTCATATTGATACACACAGAGTTGGGGCCGCAGTGATGGGAGCCAGTTGTGCATTCATCTACATCTGAGAAGAAATGAGAACAGAGAAGTGTTGTTCAAATCAAGGATCCTAGGTCTGGGTCCTGTCCTGGTGTGGTGCTGTAGGATAAGCACTGGACTGTTAACTGCAAGATTAGTGGTTCAAACCTACCAACTGCTCCTCGGAAACCTTCTGCAGGGTCACTGTAAATTGAAACTGATTCCATGGTACTTAACAAGAACAGGAGTGGAAAGTCTGAAATCTTAATATTTTATCACCATGAGGCTCGATGAAAATGATGATTGGTGGACTCAACAGGAACTGAAATGTAGTACTTTTAAGCACAAGAGATGTTTCCAGATCATCATAAATAATAAAAATGTATTTCAAGTCATTCAAGTATTAGCCACTGGGAGATATTTTTTGAACACATATCCTGAAAATTCATTGAACATTTAAAACTTGTTGATCATTTAGAAGAAAAAAATTATGCAAGTTTTTCTTTTAAAATACAAATAGGCTTCAAAAAATTTGCAGAAAAGTATAATTTAAAGACAATAGAATCTTTCCATGAACTGTTTGAAGCCCATTATATATCTAAATTTTGTTTTAAACCCCGTCACAATATTCTGGGATTCAATAGGTGAAAGATAACCAATGTGTAAAATTTAAAGTTACCTCCAAAACTTACTTTACAATTAATCTAAGGACTACTTAATATAATAGTCTGTGAAGACCACAATCTTCAGTATGGATTGCATCTCAATGTCAAGTAAACAAAAATCCTCCCTACTGGACCAATAAACAACACCACTGTACCAACAAACAACATTCTTATCAATGGGGAAAAGACTGAAGTTATCAAGGACTTCTTTCTTCTTGGATCAACTATCAACACTCATGGAAGCAGCAGTCAAGAAATCAAATGACGTATTGCATTGGGTAAATCTGCTGCACAAGACCTTTTTAAAGTGTTGAAGAGCAAAGATGCCAGGATGAGGACTAAAGTGCACCTGACCCAAGCCATGGTATTTTCAATAGCTTCATATGCATGAGAAAGCTGGACAGTGAATAAGAAAGACCATAGAAGAACTGATGCTTTTAAGTTATGGTGTTGGAGGAGAATATTGAAAGTGCCGTGGGCTGCCAAAAGAACAAACAGATCTGTGTTGGTAGAAGTGCAGCCAGAGTGCTCCTTGGAGGCCAGGATGGCCAAACTTTGTCTCTTATACATCGGACATATTGTCAGGAGGGACCAGTCACTGGAGAACGATATTGTGTTTGATAAGGTGAGGTGTCAGAGAAAAAAAGGAAGACTCCCAGCGAGATGGATTGGCAAAGTGGCAGCATCAAGGGGCTCAAGCGTGACAACAATTGTGAGGTTGGCCCAGGACCGGGCAGTGTTTCATTCTGCTGTGCATAGGGTCACTATGAGTCGGTACTGACTAAGTGACACCTCACAACAGCAACAACTTTAATATAGGCTCAAAATAACAAAAGTTAAGAACTCCAGATTTCCCAGAATTGCAATAAGCATGTTCTTTTCATAAGTCCCAGTCCCAAATACCTACTTACAACTATCCTCTCAAACTTAACCAGATTGTGCTTCAGTTTTTCAATAAGTGCTTTCAGAGCAATAACTAAAGTCACACATCAGTGGAGATAATAAGGCGGGCTAACATTTGTCTTCTATAAACATAGTTCTGAATAGGACAAAGTGAACACAAGAACTACAAGAAAGCAGTACAGAGAGGATGGTCCTTACCCACACAGCTCCGTCCATCTCCCTGGTACCCAGGTGCACACTCACAGGTGTAGGCTGCATTTGTCCCTGGATGACACTGTGCTGTTGTGTCACACATGTGGCTGCCATCATGACAAGGATTGACTGGAGCTGGGCCTGAATCCTCTGTGTGGGCAGAGATGGAATAAAACACAATAGCACATTCTGATCACTGTACAGAAAGGAGAAAGAAGAGCCCTTGGCACTGATTGTATACTTGTCTGTATTTCCTGGTATGTCTGGTAACCTTGGAACATTCTCACTACCCAAGGGTACAGTGAATTCCCAAAATGGCTTTCTCTTGCCTAAACTATGACAGTGTAGCTTTCCTTGCTTTCAGTAGGTTTTTGTCCAGCGAATAAAAATATCTAACATATGTCTTTTTCAAGAACAAAGATGTCAGTCTGAAGATCACTTAAAAGTACCAATATGAAAAGTGCCATGGACTACCAGAAGAACAATCAAATCTGCGTTGGAAGAAGTACAGCCAGAATGCTCCTTAGAAGCCAGGATGAGAAGACTTTGTCTCTCACACTTTGGACATACTATCAGGAGTGACCAAACCCTGGGAAAGGACACATCATGCTTGACAAAGTAGAAGGTCAGTAAAAACGAAGACCCACCCATGAGATGGATTGGCACAGTGACAATGGGCTCAAGCGTAACAACTCTGAGGATGGCACAGGACCGGGCAGTGTTTTGTTGTGTTGTGCACAGCGTTGCTATGACGCAGAACTGACTTGAAGGCACCTAACAACAACAATACACACTTCTAACTTCCTAGCACCACCTAGTGCTTTACTGACTATGTAAGGATTTTGACTGCGTGGATCACGACAAACTATGGATATCATTGTAAAGAACAGGCACTCCAGAACACTTAACTGTGATCATGAGGAGCCGGTAGGTACATAGACCACAAGGCAGTCATTTGAACTGAACAAGGGGATACTGAATGGTTTAAAATCAGAAAAGGTATGTGCAAAGGTTGTTTCCTTTCTCCCTTACTGGATCATACTTACTCAATCTGTATGCTGAGCAATAATTTGAGCAGCTTAAGTATCTGAAGAACATGACATCAGGATTGGAGGCAGACTCATTAACAACCTGTGATAAGCATCAGTCTCCATAACTCTGAGAACAGAAGAACTAGATGGTGCCCAGCTACCACTCTACCAACTGCTCTGAAAAGTCCCAGATAGACTGGGAGAAAATGTGAAACAAATTTTTAAATTATTTATTTTTTTTAAAAAGATGAGGCTGACTGGTTAGAAAGCGACTAGAGGAACCTGAAACTATGGCCCTCTACCACCCTTCACGTCTAAAGAGGAACCAACCTCTCAGGGCCAATTTTTAGATAGGTATGTAGAGGGGACAACAAAACTAGTAAGGTCTGCTCACTGTGGAATGGTCAACCACTAAAAATCAAAAGGGCAACATTTACCTAAAGACAAAGTTGAGAATGGATGTGAAGGTGGGTGGAAGGGAAACAGGAACAAGACAGAATAAGTGGGAGACCTGTTATTGCATGGAGGGGATTGCAATCATTGCGATGAAACAAGTCAGGATCAGGATTTGTTGAATGTAAAATTGATGATTTTTGTCTGCAAACTTTCATTCAATTTATAATAAAAAGTTACAAAAAAAAAAAAAAAAAGTCACCATGGTACATTCCAGCAAAGTTTAGTGAGAATACACCGATGTCAAGAGCTTATTCCTCTGTAAGGCATGAAAAGCAGGAGAAGGTGTGGCTGGGGTAGTGGGGAAGCAGCCCACTTGGAAATAATTGACTTGCAAACTTGAAGATATGAGTACATTACGGTATCTGAACTTGAGTAGAAAATGTCTATAATTACACAGTTGTTGTTGTTAAGTTCTGTTGAGTGGGTTCTGACTCCTAACAACCATGTACAGGGTTTCTGAGGAGCAGCTGGTGGATTCAAACTTGCCAAATTGACCTGCGGTCCAGTGCATTATCCTGCAGTGCTGATTACACAATACTGAATTAAAATGCATTTCACTGACAGGACCAGCTACATAATTTGCAGAGCTCAGCACAGTGAATATGCAAGGTCCCTGGTTCAAAAATAATTAAGAATTTCAAGGCTGCACCATGGAGAATTAAGCCAAGCACATGAGCCTTTGGCGTACAGAGCTCTGTGCCACTGAGGTCACACACCCATGAAGCCAAGCTTACTCGCTGAAGCTAGTTCCCAAAAACATTTTTGATACATTTCTAAAACCACTTGGCTATTCATTCTCTCTAGTTTGCTAGCTTCTTTCCTAATATAGTAAATAATAGGACATTTTCTACTTCACCTTCACCCTCTTGAACTGTTTGATTCTAACAAAAGGATCTGGAACGAATTTACTCATTTAATGAAGAGGGCAGAAGTGATTTCCCTTAATGGAACAGCTCTTGGATGCAGCCTCTCAGCTTCACTGTGTGGCCCTTTGCCCAAAGTCTCCGCAACTCGCCCAAAGGACCCCTGAAGTGGGAGCAAGGACAGGATGCATGAATAGATCTTGCTCTATGATCCCATGAAAACCAGGCACCCCACATGTGGAACTCAAACAATTGGTGTTGGCTGTGGCAGTGAGGGGGTGTTGGGATGTCAGCATGGGCTTCAGGCTTTGGTTGTTCACTGCAAAGACAAAGTATTATATTCTAAACCCTGGGAAATCACCCGGCTCCCACACCAGGTACAGCCAGCTGTGTTGTTTTACATACATTCCAACCAGCTAATAGCTCCCTCTGGAAACAGCAAGAGACAAGAAGATACTGCTACACATCGAGTGGTTGTATTTTTGTTGTGTTCTTTTTCTGTTTTGTTTCCTGCCCCCCACCCTCCACATACACCTTTCACCCCTTCTGTTGTTCTACTGAGATAGAATAAATAACACTGATGTTTTCTGTTGGGTGGGATGAAGTAGAGTTCAAACATAAAAAGCTCACAAATAATTTGGTCTAAATTACGAGGCAGTCTCCATCTGTCTCAGCTCACCACTTACTAGCTGGCTGTGCGCAGGAAACGGCTTCACCTCTACCCCTCAGGCTCACTGTCTGCAAAGTGAGGATAACACTATCTTCAGGTGGGGTAGAAAGTGAACCCTGGTGACACCGTGGTTAAAGCACTAGGCTACTAACCAAAAGGTCCGATTCCAACCCGCAAAATGTTCTGTGGGAGAAAGGTGTGGTAATCTGTCTCGGTAAAAACTTAGAGCCTTGGAAACCCTGTGGGGCAGGTCTATTGTCACTGTGGGTCAGAATCAACAAGAATGGGACTGGGTTTTGGTTTACTGGGAGTAGAGATTATTTTGAAGATGAAGTGAGTTAATTTATGTACTTAGGATAGCTCTTGGTCCTTTCTAGCTGGCTGGCTTCCTCTGGCCCCATGTTTGCATGTCTCTGAGAAAAACACAGCCAGAGGTATATTATTTCCCTAAATGTTTGCAGAATCTGAATGGGACTCTATGGCCTGGAGTTTGTTGCACAAAAGAATATTATTTTTACAGATCAGAAACTTACACCAGCAAAGGGCTGACCAGGACATTTGTAGGTAAAGGATATTTTCCCCAGCTGTTTTTGTTTAAATATGTCCTTGAGAAATCTGCAATAACATCTTTCCCTTCCACATCTGCATGTTTTTCTAAAATCAACTGCCATTTTCATTTATCCTGTCTGCAGATACCCAATGCTTGCTTGCACCCTGAACCCAGTTTCCTAAAAACCAAACCAAATAGGCTCACACTGCTCATTATAAGTCATCTCTGCCTCCCAGAGCAGGGGCCTCCTTCTCTTTACTTAAGATCTTGCTGTTAAGTGACACTTCCATATTGAGCCTTTGAGCCTGAGGAGGCATAAAGGAGAACTCTGCTCCAGTAATAAAGCCCAGAGTCGCTCGTCAGTTACAAAGTCTCCTCTTGGGGTGCCAGTTCTGGACTGACCAGGACCAATATAGAAACTGACTGACAAAGACATTCTTTTTCTCTTCACACACTTCTTGCATTCTGGCTTCCAGATTATAATGTCCTCTTGAACTGACTCAGTGCAAATGCCCTTCTTGTCTGTTAAGTTCCCTGACCTCTCAGGATACTCTGGCTTGCCTAGAATATTTTAATCTTCATTTTCATCAAGATTGGCAGGCCATACGAATGTTCACTGAAATTTGAGAATTACTGCTTTTAAAGCTTTAGTGTGCTTTGATTTTTTACAACTTAATTCATATAGATACATAATTCACCCATTACAGTATATCATTTTTATTATAGTCACTGATTTGTGCAACCATCATCACAATCAATTTTAAGACATTGTCATCATTCCAAAAAGAAACACTACAGCTTTTACGTCACCTCCTTCCCATCTCATCCACCTCTTTGTTGTTAAGTGCCGTTGAGTTGGTTCTAACTCATAGCAATCCTGTATAGGGTTTCTGAGGAGTGGCTGGTAAATTTGAACCACCAACCTTGCGGTTCAAAACCTTATAGTCCAGTATATTATATCACAACGCCACGCCAAGACTCCTTATCTACCACTAGGCAACCACTAATCTACTTCCTGTTTCTATAACTTTTCCTAATCTGAACATTTCATATAAATGGAGCCATAAAATATGTGGTCCTTTGTGACTGGCTTCCTTTGCTTGGCCTAATGTTTTCAAGGTTCATCTGTATTGCAGCATGTATCAGCACTTCATTCCTTTTCATCGCTAAACATTCCATTAGACAGACCACATTTATATAAACCAGTCACTAGTTTATAGACATTTGAGTTGTTTCCATCTTTTGGTTATTAAGAAAAATATTGCTATGGATGTTCACTTATACATTTTTGTATAGTCACATGTTTTCATTTCTCTTGAGTATATACCTGCAAATGGAATTGCTACCTTGTGTCTAACAAATTGTACTTTGTGTCTAACATTATGAGAAACAATTACCCTGTTTTCCAAAGTGAGTACACCATTTTACATTCCCATCTGCTGTGAATGAGCATTCCAATTTCTCCACATCCACATGAAATTCAAGTTTATGAAACTATGCTCTCCACTATTTTCTTTTGAACATTTTATAGCTTTAGCTCTCATAAGTTTATGTTTGTATACGACGGAAGGTAAGGGTCCAACTTCAATATTTTATGTGGCTGTCTAGCTATCCCAGAACCATTTTCTAAAAAGACAATTTTTTCTCCACTTCATTGTTCTGGCATCCATGTTGCAATTCAATTGTAAATGAAAGCATTTACGAGTATTTCTGGATTCTGAGTTCTGCTAATTTGTATGTCTATTCTTATGCCAGTAGTTCTACACTGTCTTGATTATGTAAAGCTTTAAAATCTGAAAGAGTGAGTCTTCCAAATTTTTTGCTCTTTTTTTAAGATTACTCAGTGATTTGGAGAACCTTGGGTTTTTATATGAATTTTAGGATCAACTTGTCAATTTCTGCAAAGATGTTATCTGGGATTTTGATAGGGATCGGGGAGTACTGACCTCTTAAGAATATTACATCTTCCAATCCATGAAAATGGAACATTTTCCCATTTATTTAGGTCTTTAATTTCTTCAAAAAATATTTTATAGGTTTCAGTGTGTATTACACTTCATTAAATTTATTTTTAGTATTTTATATTCTTTTGAAATGGAATTGTTTTCTTAATCTAATTTGCATTTTCCTTATTACTACTATACAGAAGTGGATGAATTTTTATGCTGATTTTGTATACTGCAAAATCTTGCTAGTCTTAGTTTAATAGTTAAATAAGCTTAATAATAATAATTTTGAGTGGATTTGTTAGGATTTTCTAGCTACACGATCATGTTATCTGAGAACAGAGAGAGTTTCATTTTTCCTTTCCAATCCAGAGGCCACTTACTTCCTTTTCTTACCCAACGTCTGTGGCTAGAACCTCGAATACAATATTGAATACAAGTGCTTAGAGCAGATATTCTTACTTTGTTCCTCATCTTAGGGGAAAGCATTCACCATTATGTACAAAATTCACTGCTGTAGGTTCTTCATTGATAAGTTTTATTTTCCATCTTGATTTGTGAAATTCTACCCATTGGTTTTGGCTAAAATGTCACCTTCTCAGGGTCATCTTTCCTGACCCTCAAGACTAGGCTCATATCACCACACTTACCACAAAAAACACCTCATCAACATCATTCCCCCTCTTAACTTGGCTCCACAAGAGCCAAGGTTAAGCTGTCTTGTTCACAGATGTATGCCATCTCAGACTAGCACACACAATTGAGTATTACTGCAAACCAGCCTCACCTACTGTGTTTCATTTCCTGGGTTTGCCTGAAAGGTTCTGTTTCTGCCTCTGTGTCCACCTCAAGGACAGAGACTGCTTTTTTATCTTTGTACATCAGCATGTAACAGTTTGGCACTCAGTAAACTAAATTCTGTGAATCTCTCTAAGGTTACTCAAAAAGGAATAAAGAGACAATTTTAGATGCAACTCATAGCCAAAAAACAACAACAAAAAAGGGAAACTGTACCTTCAACAGGACCAACTTGATTTGCCACAGCAAATCTAAGAACTCTTTCTTCATCGCTGTACATGGCAAAGACCCGGTCCACAGTTAACTGCTGGGTGGTGGGGACGGCCTGGTGTCTGGAAGCATGCTTGCAGGTCTGGTATGTGATGTTCTGGTGGATGCGGTAGGACCAGGTTTGGCTGATGTCACCAAATGTGAGGGAGTACTCTCTAGAACTTGTAGAGGTTACAGCTGCAATAGATACATTACAGAGGCAAACTGGTGAGTCAACGAGTAAGTGTATAGATAGACAGATAGATAGAATCCCATGTGGGATAAATTTTTCTCCAGGGTTTTGTTGGTGGTGGTGCTGGTGCTTAATACAGTAATTCTTTTAAGAAGTTGTATGATCATAGTTCACAAACTGATGCAATAAAAAAAAATTATACTTTTGAAATAGTTTATGGAGATTGATGCATGATAAATTTAGTCTTTGGATGTTCATTCTTGGATTTTAATGCAAGACTAGTTCTCTCTATATTTTGACCTTGAGCAAAAGTCCACACACTCAGCATCTTGTAAGCTCTTTAAAATATGAAATAGGAATGTTTTACTTTCCAGTTACTCTTTTTTTCCTCTCCCAGTTGTCTTTATTATCTGTGCCAGAGGAAGTCATTATGCAATATAATTATATTGCATAAATAGACATATAATCACTCTTAAGAAATCATTTATGAACATGTAACAAAGAAAACCTCAACTAAGTGATAATACACATACTGTACTTTTCCATCTTAGTTAGCCCTCCTTGTTTCCATCATTGTTTAGTTACATCTTCATCTAATTCTTAAAGCAGGTGCCCTTGGGGATTCCCTGAGTATATTTGGAATACTTGCAAGGTAATTCCTAAAACCTGAGCAAATCCAAAACCAAAGTACTGACAGGTAGGAGGGACTACAATTGCTGGCATCATAAGCAAAGAATAAACATCCCCATGTGCCAGTTGCACCATTGCCTCATTCAGTCCTCACAACAACTCTGTAAAGTAGGCACTACACTCCTATGGGCAGAGGCTTACACAGGATAACTAACTAACTTAAGGTCTTGAGGCTGGTATCTGGTGGAGCTAGAACTCAAGTCGACCTGTCTATTTCTCAAGTTTTTTACCAATCCATTCTCTGTATCGCACAGAATGGTAACTTCTCTCTGCTTTTCACGTAAGTAAGTCTGAAGAGTTCCAGGGAAAGGAAAGGGTCTTTCTGCCAGTCTAGGACTCAGCTTCCCATTTGCTTCTCTACCTTTCCTGCCTGGCTTCAAGCACTCACACCGTAGGAGCAATAAGAGCCAGAAGGAAAGACACAATTTATACCAAGACAGCAACTCTGCAAGACAGCGACTGTGGTTGAGGCAGTATCTTGCATTCAGATAGTATTTCACAGAATGCATCAGACGACACATACGAATATTATCAATCATGTAAGGGCATCAGAGAAAGTATTATCACCATGCTGACTGAAGCTGTGAAAACAGATAGCTTGATGGTAAATGATTTTGCCCATAGATTTTATATGACAAGTACATGAAATGAATTCCTATTTTTGACTGCAAATCCTCTCTGTGATTTTTAAAATAGGCTACAAATATCAGCTGAAACATGGTTCAGTTACAGGACAAATATACAGTCCAACAATATTTTTTCCATACACCAGACATCATGAAGTTTTAATGGTACATATATAATTGTACGATTCTTAACCATCTCTATAAACAATGTTGTGATTAATGTTATTATTTCAAAGTACTGGGTAGAGACATTAATATTCTTGTGCATAGCAGACAGAATTCTGCTCGTTTATACTATATTTGGTAATAATAATGAGAATAAAATTAATTAAAGCAATATTAAGTTCATATTAAGTGCCACACGCTAAGGACATTCCGTGTATGCATTTGTGTCATCTTCACAACAACCTTGTGAGATGTTAGAATTCCCAATTAATAGATGGGAAAACTGGTTACACATACCTGAGTCAGAGTAGTGGTAGAGCTCCTTGTAGGGGGCAATGTGGGCTGTGGAATTCACTGGGATGGAAGGTACCTGACCTTGAATGTTGGTCTTGATGCTCAGATAGTTCTCCGAGTCAAGTCCCTCAGCAATTTGAGTGATATGAACCTTCTCCTCTCCTGGGTAGAAGGTAACATCCATGTCCTGGGTAAAAGTAGCACCTGGGAAAGGAGAAAAATTTAGAACAAAGTAATGAAGAGGGGCCTTGCTAAAACAATGACCAGTTCACATTTTCTCCTTCTAATTTCTACTATTGTTAGAGATGATGCCTAAGAGATGATCTGATACCCAAGACTAAGTACTCTCAGCTGGCGATCCCATAAATCTCCAACACAATGTTGTTAAAAAGTGTGATTCATCCTGCCTAATGCCACTTCTCTTTTTAGGAACTTGTTTTCTGTGAGGAAAATGCAGCCAGGCTTAGTTAAAAAGTACATGATGTAAGTTAAATTTGTATTTTAGATAAACAACAAATAATTTTGTAGTATATTTCACGCAACATTTAGGGCATATTGATAAAGCTGAAAGCCTCATCTCAAGGAGTAACTGAAGCAATGCTAAATATCAGCCCAGCATGGTGGCTCCAAATGATAAGCACTGGACTTCAAACTTTAAGGTCTGCAGTTTGAGCCGGCCAGCTGCTCCTTGGGAGAAAGATGAGGCTTTCTGTTCCTGCAGACATTTGAAAAAGCCTTGGAAACCCTATACAGGATGGTTATGAGTTGGAACCAATTCGAAGGCATTAATAATAACAACAGACAGACCCCCTACTTACCGGTGATGCTGAAGCCATTCTCTGAGCCTGGTTTTTCTAATGCAAAGAGCCAGCCAAACAGGCCTCCAATGGGTGTGAGGGGGAGAAGGGCCTGGGCTGCGGGCTGTGGGATGTGGCTGATGGCCGTGTATGCTCTGCCATCATTGCCCACGATGTAAGCATGCAGGTCCACGTTGGTGAAGTGTATAGGCATGTGGCCCACATGGAGGTGGCCGGTCACTTTCCCATTGACTCGGAGAGGTGCCCCTAAATGATAGCAAATACAGTCATCCTTGGCCATCACCCAGGCTGGGAGTGGGAACACACAAAGAATTCCACTTGCAACTCCCAAACCCACTCTCTCTCACAAGCCATTTAACTGATTCCCAAACCAAATGTACAAAATAGATCTGTATTCTCTTTACTTGCATACTAACTGACTCATCCCCACCCGCCACCTTCCCTCAAATTTGATTCTAATGAACTGGGAAAAATAAGAAAATTCCTGGATAATCCTCAAATTAGGAAATCAGCCCAAATATGTTCACTCCTCAAATGTGCTTGATTGCACACTTACAAGCTGCTAGCTCTTTGATTCAAGTAGCAGGAAGATTGTAGAGTCAACAAAGCAAGGTTTACAGAAGCAACAAAAAACAAGTAAGCAGCAGGAATGGACACAGACCTGCCCCCACCTCCCTCCAAGCCAGCACCAATCACCTTCTGGCAGACAATGCTTCCCATTTCCGTAAAACCTGAACTGGCAGTGGCAGCAGAAGCCAGTGGTGTAGTCAGTGCAGAAGGCATGCTGGGAGCACTGTCTGTGGCTACGTTCACAGGTTTCCTTGTTGGCACCATTGTATGTGAAGACTGAAAAAGAAAACAAACTTGCATTAAAAGAGATAAAGTGATTCCAGCAATGGAGCTGCCAAGCTTCATCATAGAAATGACATCGCCATAAAATCCGTTTAGATTTGCAGGAAACCGATAAGGTTTGATGTTTAAGAGACAGGAATAACATTCAACCCAGAGGCATTGAATTGCTTTGTCTTTCTGCAAGAGGTACTGCCTACTGCTCCCATATGGGTCTAATTTCAGAGTTGGTGAACAGAGAGTAGACTGGACGGCAGTAAAATAAAAGCAAGCCGGTAAGTATATGTTAGGCTGAAATGTAGGAATGTTTCACTTTTATATATCAAAATGGTGAAATATTAGTAATTTTATATGATTCATTCAAAGAGTAATGACTTCCAGAAAGGAAGGCAAAAGTATGAGAAACCATCAAATTTGATCTTCTCTATGCACAACCTGGAACAACAGGGCTCTGGGATACAGGGACTGAGGCATGGTTTGAATGGGTAAAAGAGGGAAAATAATGTTAAGATGCTTGGCTGTCTTTTGAATCTTGGTTTCCCTTGCCTACCATTATAAAATAGACACTTGAGGGGGAGAGAAAGGAATAGCCAGAAATATCACCATAGAAAGCTTGTAAGTCTGTCTTCAGCCTATAACTGATTGGAATATCTAACATGGGGCTAGAACTTGCCCAGTGAAGGAGACTTCCTGTGGAGCCTGTGCACTGCATAAAACCTGAACCCCATTCAGAATCTTCTGAGGTGGGAAATTTGCAATTGTAAGGACAAGCAAATCAGCCTGGAATGGCTAGAAGAACAGAAGATATTTCTTGAAAGAAAGACCAGCAGGTAAAATCAAAAACAATAATGGCAGCCTGACTGACTACTAAAAGAACAAGCAAGATGTTCACCAGGGAGCCATGAAGGCAAGTGGTCGGATCCCCTCAGGGCAAACCCCCTTCCAAGACTAAGACTCAAGGGGAATACATGAGCAGGCCTGTGGTCTGGCTGGTGACCACATTGGTCACTGATAAGGGGAATTGGGGAAAAACAGCAAAGAAGTTGTGAGCTAAGTCCGACCACGTTCAATAGACTCCTGTGAACCTGGATTGAGACCTGGTTGGCCAGCAGTGTGGCAAGACCTGGGGACTCCTGGGCCCAGAAAGAGTGACATGGCCACAGAAGACTAGAGTGGAGAGTGAAGTATCCAGCTGATATGAAGTGAGGAGTGAGGGCATATGCACAATAACACCCATACTTGCAGATAGTACCCACTTGACCTGGCTTCAATGGCTGGATGATCAGAACTCAACTAGAAGAAGAAAGAAGAGGGGGAAAAAAAGAGTAATCTGCTACAATTTGATGAACTTGACCTATACATATGGATGTAGTATCTCAAAAGAGGGAACAAATCTTTACAGCAAGGATCATTCCCACCCCCTTGGTACACAGGGTTGACAGGGATGGGCAACTTAGACACTGGCTACCCAAAATGGGGGGGCTACAAAGGCAAGAAATGATGGCTTACAAGCCTAGTTCCAGTGGGTGCGGGGGAAGGTAGAATCTCCACTGAGTGGTTTCCAATCTGCCTGGATGGGGCTGATGAAAGGAGATGGGGATAGGACTCTTGTGGTACAATAGTGAATAACTGCTATCAGGACTGACTGTGAGGGCTGAAAATGTAAAGGTAGATGTTTTGGAACAAAAGAAGGGGAGTGGTTGATTTTTCAGTCCAGGAGCAGAGGTGCCTGGGACCATCAAGAGAGCAAAGCAGTGACATCAGAGATGGAGGCAGATATGATAACGTGGAGAGATGGAGCGGGTGGGGACTCTGGACTTAGGGAGGGAGAAGGGCTGTGTGCTGGCAGCCGGGGGCAGGCTGGTAGGGTGTACCCTTGGGTTGTTTGATGATTCATGGAGGGGGCTGTAATCATTGCAATGAAATGAAATACGATAGGATGAATGTAAAGCCAATGCTGTCCCATGTAAACTATCACATAATTTACAATTAAAAAAAAAATGTGATCTTCATGTTTAACTGTTCTTTCCTTAGCTGGAACTTTCAAAGAATTGCTTATGTCACTGCCTGAAACACACATGCACATTATTGTTGTGTCTTTGAGTCGGTCCCAACTCATAGTGACTCTGTATAGGGCTTACAAGGAGTAGCTGGTGGATTTGAACTGTCAACTTTGTGGTTAGTAGTCCAGTGCTGATCCTACAGTGCCACACTAAGACTCTCTATATATTTTTTCCTCTGAAAGGTAAGAAAAGCCTTAAAGAACAGACAGCATTGATACGATGACTAGACTAAGAACCACAAGGTCAGTGGTTCAAGCCCACCAACCACTCCACAGGAGAAAGATAAGGCTTTCTGTTCCTACACAGATTTTTTAAAGTCTTGAAAATGCTATTGTTAAATGCTGTCAAGTCAGTTACATCTCATAGCGACCTGTATATGAAGTTTCTGAGGAGCGGCTGGTGAGTTTGAACTGCTGACCTTGCGATAAAGTGCATTATCCTACAGCACCACACCAGAAAATGCTATACAGGGTTGTTATGAGTCGAAACTCGCTTGATGGTACTTAATAGCAATTATGAGATTATGGACCAGTTGCTGGAGAAGGATATCATATTTGATAAAGTGGAGAATCAGAGAAAAAGAGGAAGACCCCCAACGAGATGGATTGGCCAAGTGGCAGCATCGATGGACTCACGTGTGGAAACGGTAGTGAGGTTGGCCCAGGATTAGACAGTGTTTCGTTCTGTTGTGCATAATGTTGCTATGGGTAGGAAGCGACTTGATGGCACCTAACAACAACAATAGCAATTCTGATGACTGTGGCACAAGCAGAATTTCCATGCAGTAGATGAGAGGTCTAGGGCAGAGTTGCAGGGTTTTAAGTAATCGTGGTATAGCACTGCAGGATCAGCACTAGACTATGAACCACAAGGTTGGTGGTTCAAACCCACCAGTTGCTCCTTGGAGACACTATACAGGGTCGCTATGAGTTCTAGTGTGGCGCTGCAAGATAATGCACTGGACTACAAGGTCAGTTTGAACTGCAAGGTCAGCTTAATAACAACCACAGTCATGGTGGACCAATGGAGGCTTTCATAGCTTTTCCTTCAATCTCTTGATTCACCCATTAAAAAAGAAAGGGAGTCATTTGTGCTGCAAAGAAACAAGATAATTGGAACAAATGCCATTACCCATAAAGGAAATGGTCAAAGGATGAGGCATGGCAGGTAGTCAGGGGTGGAAAAGAGAGAGCTTTCTCTCTGGACACTGGTGGTGGTATGCCAGGGAATGGGTTCCGACTCATAGAGACCCTGTACAGGGTTTCCAAGGCTATAAATCTTTACAGGAGCAGAAAGCCTCATCTTTCTCCTGCAGAATGGCTGGTAGTTTCGAACCGTTGACCAGTAAGCTACCAGAGCTCAGGACACTTGGGGATGTCAATTCCAAGTACGGCCACAAGGTGGCAAAGTGGTTGCACACACCTCTGCCTCCTGATTGCCGGGTGCTGGAGTTGGTTGGAGACTCCAGAAACATGCTGATGACTCAGAGATGGCATAGAATCCTAGTGTTAGACTTGACTGTTGGTGTCAAGTGCCAGCTTTGAGCATGAAAGGTCCCTACTCATGGGAAAATCTAAATGGCAGTTGTGCTCCAGGTCTAGGTATGGAAGAAGGGAATAGAAGAAATGGAAAACTCAATATTCACCCAGCATTCCAGGATACAACAGAAAATTAACTAATGGGGAAGGTGTAACAGCATATCTGCAGTGCTACCATCAGTAAAACCCCTGTATCAACAAGTGATGATACAACTAACAGTATAAGTTAACATTTAAACAGTGCTTATTACATGGCAGATAGTATTCTAAATGTTCTATAGTTATTAAGTCTTTTAATTTGCACAATAGCCTTAGGAAGAAGGAACTATATTTTTTCTTGTTTTTTAGACTGAAAAAACAGAGACACAAAGGGTTCAAGTGACTTGCCTCAGGTTGGGAGTGGAACCTAGGAAATCTGGCTGCAAAATATCCGTACTCTTAACCTCTGTACTCTACTACGTCCACGTTAGACCCCAAGTATCTAAATCATGAGAGCAGGGTGAAGGAGCTGATCAGGTGTTTGGGTTTAATCAATACAGGCTTCAGTAAACTTTGAACCACACTTCATAAGTCATGCTTAATGATAGAAGAGAGCAGACCAAGAGTATTCCAGATGGGTATTACAGCAGGTTCAAAACCTCTCAACAAGAAGTGAGATTAGAATAGATTAGCTGCTGAAAGAGCTTTATTTTGGTTACAGATACATCAAGAAGCAGCAAGCAGAGGGGTTGGCAGGACAGTCAGGAACCTAGTAATTAAGAATAAAGCAATTAACTCAGTGGTTAGTCATTGGCTCAATATTTGATGGCATGGCTGAGAAATTCCATTTTGATAAAAATAGAAAACTAGGCATAATGTTGAACAGTTTTTAATAAGAAAGTGGCAAAATTCAAGGCACACAAAAAAGAGTGGATGGTGACAAAACTATCACAGGTGTTGCTATGGGGAAATTGATACTTTTGTACTAATATCATTCATTGGTTTAGAAAAGGGAGGGGATGGAGACATTTTGAGTAAAAAGGAATGAATGTAATGTAATTTGGGTACGTCAAGAGCTGCGTTTTCTCCAGATCAGAAAGTCACAAGCAGGTGGGGCTGAGGGGGATGAAGAATGCTGGGCTCACAGCCGTGTGTCAAGAAGCATAGCTCCAGGGGCTCCCACACTTGTGAACACACTAAGGCATCGGCAGCCCCTCAAAACTCCCTCTTTCTCTAAACACAAGGGAACACGGTTCTAGGACTCAATGTCAGTAAATGCTTCGTTGGTTTTGCAGAAACTGTCTGCCTCAGCCTCCTCATCTCAGAAAGTGGGATGACACCCTCTTCCTCACATTTGCTTTGTCCGAAATCACATTTTCTCTTACAGTATGTGAGTCTGAGTGCCAAGATGAAAAGG